TTTGAGATGTTTCACCTTATAGAGATCTTGTGGGTTTTGTGGTAGCACAGGTGTAGGGCCATTGGGGGGACTATGGGCCATGAAGTTAAGATCTGAAAGTTAAGGGACCTAAGTTCTTGTCTGAAAGCTTGTCAGAAAATTTCCCAGAATTTCTTCATTAGTAAAATGGGATTTAATAATAAGTCCATGCTTATCTACCCAATTATGGGAAAATGGAAGTGCTTCATTGCAAATTTTGGCATGAATACAAAAGTGCTAGTTTGGTGTTGGGATATGCTCAGATGCATTTTAATTTTCCTATTGTCCTTGTTTGCACTTTTAACTGTCTTATCTTCCCACACTTTTTGCAGCTGAAGGGAAATTTAGCTTTCTGCCTGGCTAGTCTAAAACACATACTACCAGAATTTGGAGGTGGTTGGCAGCTAACTAATGAAGAAAGCAGGGATATTTAGGCAAAGGTGGTGGTGGTGGGGTCTTTGGGCCGCTGACTTAAAATGTTATTTTCGCATGGCTCCTTTGGTTAGTTGTGAGTATGGATGTGACTCCAGCATGACAGAGCAGAGAAGTTCAATGTTATAAATCTTTGAAGTTGCTAAAGGAGGCCGTTGTTCAACAAAAACCTTCAAGGCCGAAAGTTTTTCTCAAAGAAATGGTTTATTGAGCCATATGCTACGCAAAGAAAGGAGCAGGTCCTTGATGGAGAAGACATACATGCCCACCATCTAAGGTTGTGGGGACTCTTTTAACATATATTTTTATTAATTTCAGAGAGGAAGGGAGAGGGAAAGAGACATAGAAACACCAATCATGAGAGAGAATCATTGATTGGCTGCCTCTTGCACGGCCCCTACTGGGAATTGAGCCATGAAACCAGGGCATGTGCTTTTGACTGGAATTCAACCAGGGACCCTTCAGTTTGCAGGCCCATGCTCTATGCACTGAGCCAAATTGGCTATGGCATGGGGGATTCTTTTATACAATGAGTTTAGAGGGGAAAGATGTAAGTTGTTTTGAAGGAATTTACATTGGTGCCTGGCCAGTGTGGCTCAGTGGTTGACCATCGATCTATGAACCAGGAGGTTCATGGTTCCATTCTCAGTCAGGGCACATTCCTGCATTGTGGGTTAGATCCCCAGTAGGGAGCATGCAGGAAGCTATAAAGAAACTGGGAATAGGTGAAGTGGAGAAAGTTTTGAAATAGGTGCATATAAGGAAGGTTGTGGGGACTCTTTTAACATATATTTTTATTAATTTCTATAAGGAAGATGTATTTTCTGCTTTTGGATTGGTAGTGGACAACAGTCTGGAAAGTTCATGTGTAATCAAGATGTGGTGGCATTCAGTAGTCGGCTATTGAGCTATTCTCTCTAGATAATCACAGAAAATAGTTATCTGGAGGTTGTTTCAAAGTTTTAACATACATTTAGTAATGAGAGCCATTTTTCATTGGTTCTGTTAACTGATTAACCTCTCTTATCTCCTCCTTCTACTTTTTGGTCTGCTACAATTTAATTTAGGACATCTCAGAATTTTTTCTTGTCATGAGTTTACTAGAAATTGAATATGATGAATTTGAGATTATTTTTCAAGTTTGCTGATTTGATATGTCTACATGCATCTGATTTCAAGATTTCTTGTAAAAGATACCCTCTATTATGCTTTTGGGAATAGATAGGAAAAATGAGAAAGACCAAAGTGCTGGATGAAATTGTTAATAGTGAATGTGGAGTTAAACCTCAGTTCTTGAGCTTGAGCTTGGCTTTGAAAGAATTCAGAGCCAAGAACGCCAATGCAAGAAGTTTATTTAGAAAGTCACAGAGATGAAAGAAGTGATCCAGCTGGTCCAGTGTACAGGAAAAACATAACAGAGGCAAAAGAAGGGCCCTAGGAGCTTAGGAAACAGAAAGCAAAGCCTGAAGGGGAAAGATGTAGGCATGCTCCAGAGAGCAACTGAGGATAGAAGGGCTTGGGGAAAGGCATGTTCTTTCAGGTGTATAGCATTTCTTCATTTGGTTTTGCTGCTTTTCTGGGCCTGGAGCTGAAACACAACTGAGGGCTAAATGTCATCTCTAGTTTGACCAAAACTCTGTCTCTGTGGTCAGCATACCTGAAGCTATTCTCTAGCTCCCTTGTTCCTCTTCTCGGGCTGTCTAAACCACATAACTAGCAATATGAAAGGTCAGGGGGATCTAAACTGCATGTTCAACGACATATTAGGGGAGGAAATGTTACCCTTGAAGCGAGGTCCTAGTGTATAATAGTTGTTTTCTCAGTTTTGCCCATTGCTGGGTACCCGGGACTTTTGCCTGTTGGCATTCCATACCTGGCCTATCGTTCCTACTCTGCGTATGCCTAAATGCCTACTCTATTAGAATGAGATGGCCACATGAAAGTAACTGTTGGAAAACTTAGAGTCAAGAATAGATTAGCTTCCTCAAAAGAAGTTAGATCCATGATTGAATTGAGGGTAATATGACACCCTCCTGTGTTAGTACTGGAGGCTTGCTCCCTTCAGTAGGTTTCTGGGCTTCCGGTGTAGTGCTATCGTGGATGAGAACCAGCCAAATGGAGCAATTATAGGGAAATCTTCCTCCCAAGAATCTGTTCTTTACTTGGCTGTGAGTGTAGAAAATTAAAAGTTAACTGTGGGGCTCAGTGGTATACTTTTGCTTCTCTGTTTAGTATATTGGAAGTATCATAGGTACTTCAGAAGCTCAGGAAGGGTACTGGCATGCTCGTAGGAAACTCCAGAAGTATTGAGGACCTTTCCAAGGTGGCTGAGGGCCTCTCTCTGCTCTCTGTATACTGTGGTTTCTGAGTTTAGCCTGTGGTGGGTCAGGTACTGAGTAACTATGTGCAGCCTCCAACTTGGTCACTTGCCTAAGGTGAGTAACTTTACTGCTGGTTCAGTGATAAAGACTACCAGCTTTGTTTGTTTCTTTCTTGGACTGCTCCAGAGGGTTGGGGTGGAGAGTTGGGATAAGTTCATGTTCGGGTGATTGAAATTCCAAGTCAACAATTCTTATCACAAGTCATTAAGGTAATATGTATTTCAGAAATCAAAATTTTTGAATTTTTAAAAGGCAATACAGTGCATGTAGAGTATTTTACATACATTGCCAGTGGGGTCTGGAACAGCACCCCATAATAAAAATATATTACTTTATGGAAAATATGTTAATAGTCACTATAATTGTAATAAATAAAGTTTGTTAATTGCTTTAGCTCAGTTCAAATCATGTTTTACTATCAAATTAGCATTGAAAAAACGGATTTTGAGAGCTTTTTATATTTGGTGACTGCTGATAAAGGATTGTGGACCTGTAATTGTCATTGGTTTTGCACTTTTAATCAAATTGACCCATGAGGGAAAGGCACATTCTTGATGGATATTTCCTTGGAGGAGTTTTCTGATGAGGTATTGTGCAAGTAATGGGCTCCTGCCTATGTTTATCTCAAGATCCCTTCTCTTTTCTATTCTTCTTTTTCTTTTGAGAATGATTCAAGTGGGTGTCTTTCTTATAGTGTTTTTTTTATTTATTTATTTTTAGTACCCTTTACTTCTAAATGTAGGCTCTGAGAGAACTGAAGAACCAAATGCTGAAGAATATGCATATGACAAAGCCAAACAAATCTATAATGTAGATAATCTGTATTAATAAATGCTCACAAGATAGGGACACATATTGATGATTTTATAAATGGCATCATTAAATCACTATAGGTGAAAGAACTCCACAAATATGGGTTTCATTTTTTTATTAGTCCTTAGTCCTCCTGAATGTCTCTGACTTCAGGCCAAGGACAAACATTCAGCATATCTGGCTCCCAGGAGTGATTACTATTACTGGGGTTTTTATTAAATGTGCGTATTCCTAAAGTCCCAGACTTCTGGAAACAACATTCTTAATGGATGAGCCCAGCAATTCACATGTTTAATAAGCGATATGCAGGGTTTCTCTGTCCCTCTGGAGAACCAGTGTTTGGGTGAAGGTCAAACTGCCACAGCTTTGAAGCTTGTAATCCAGGCCCAAGTCAAATAAAGGAGCATGAGACTGATTTGTCTCTTAGGACAAGGTTCTTTTTGTTTGGTTTGACCTGGATGGAGAATAGAAGCACTTAGTTGTGCTTAGAAACTAACCAACCCAATGTGGGGGAGGAAAAGTAAATTTTCTTCTACCCTTCCAGGGTTTTGACTGAAATGCCCTTGTTATAAAAGACACATCAACAAGAGAAGAACAAATAGATGTTGAATAAAATGTATACCTCTGGGAGAGAGCCAGGAAAACTGAGTAATTCCCTGAAACAGTCTAAGCCATCACCTTAATACAATCTGTAGCTAAAGATGAAAGAAGATGTTGGGGATAAGGATGAGGTTATGGGAGATGACCAGGAAAAGCACAGTAAATTGAATAAGGCTGTTATGCAGATTTAAGTCCTTGCCTTCTACATGGAAGAGGTTCTAGAGATTTAGTCATCCTTCTCTTCATGGTCCTCAGAGGGGGGCATGCTTACAAATGGATATTTCCCTAATAAAAGTAAATGTCTCTTACTAAAGGGCAGCTTCTAGGCAGTTTTCAGAGCTCTTCCTGTGTCTGGTGTTTCTTAAACAACCACAGAATAACTTAGAATAATCCTTATGCCAAAAAGAGAGATTTTGGGGAGGCAAATTCAAAAATCAAAATCAAAGGGAGGTATAGAGGTTAAGAGGAAGTGTTCCACAGGCTAAAAGGACCTAAAAATTCTCCATCTCCTATCCCCCAAACTTTCCCACCCATCACATTCATCCTCTCTCTCTCCATACACACATGTAGATGCATATATGCATATGCAGACACAATCATATTTGGAAAACCACCTGCTTTTTAAAAAATTATATTACACTTTCTGTGTTAGAGTTGGTTAATTATTATTATTATTAAAGTAACATTGTCTCGCTGCATCTAGCATTTCTTTTAATTCATTTTTAATAATCATACCTAATTCTTTTTCCATTACAGATTTTTCTCCTGGCCTGCCCTCCATGTCCGGGAGCTACGGTGGTCTTCAAGTAAGGGAAAATTGTTTTTTGCTCTCTTGCCACTGCTATTCAGACTGTTTTGTCTGTTTGATAACCTAGGATGTTCACATTTCTGTGAATATCTTGGACCTGCTCTGCTTTGTCTCCGGGCATCCTAAGGGATAAAAGTCTGTGAAACAGGCAAATGTTGTATGTGGAGATTTTGTCAAGCCCTTACAAAGCCTTTTCAGCTATTTCTTGTAGTTGTGGTTTATGGCCAAGGCATGCCCCCTTGGAAGTTAGCCACCTTCCTAAACTTTCTCTCGAGAGTGAGCTGGGGTGCAGACATCTTCCCTCATTTCAGGTCACTGATATCTCTCCTTTCAAGAATCTTTTCATTGTGGTCTTGCTGCTCCACTGAAGATATGTCTTCACTTTGAAGGCTTTTGTTCTTGTGTTTTTATTCCCTTAAAGTTAAAATGAGGAAAGAAAAATATTACTTATTACAAGTTCTAGCTTTCTTAAAAATAGCGAACATTAAATCCATTAAAGTGTATTTCACGCAAATCATGTTTATCTGAAGGCAAGTTTGCTTTAGCAAAATTCTCAAAAGTCCCAGAACCCTCATTGTAACCGAGTTGTGGCCGTCTCATTTATCAAGCCTTTTATTAAAGTTGCTAATGAGAAGCTAAATTGAAAAAATTAATTTCATCTCTTTTCTGCTGCCTTGGCCCCCATGTTGGAGCAGTTCTTGAGCACTGAAATGGCCACAGGCCAGAGGGAAAGGACAGGAAATAAAGAGCCCTGAAGATCCTTGGATAATTGAGGGTGGTGTAAATGGCTTTCTGATTTACTTAAGTCATTAAAGTGTTATGTAGGGGGACATATACCCTATTTGCTGCTTCAAATAGCTTCTTGGAATAGACACTTAGTCTCTTGGCTTTGGTGAATAACTTTCTGCTAGATAAGAGGTAATGGATCCTGATTTCATGTATTTCCTACTTGGACAGCTCCTAAGCAGAAGGGGTATTTAACCTTATTTCCTCCCTTGATTCCCCAAAATGACCTCAAATTTTTAGTGTGAAGTCTTCAAAGTAAAATGTATTAGTTTTATTTCATTATTATAAAGTAATAATTCTCATTATAGAAAATATAGAGACACATAAAGAAGAAAATAAACATCACCCTTAATTCTTTCATTCAGAGATAAGATAATTTTGGTTATTTCTTTTCTTAATAAGGAGAGATCCTCTTTAAAATTTTTACTGTAATTTATAAACAATCATTTTATATATACATTTTATACATAAACTACATAAATATGATTGCTGGATTTATTTTTTTATAGTGGTTCTTTTTTATTTCTTTGTTTTGTTTGGCTCCTCTTAATAATCAGAGAAGATCCTCTTTAGAATTTTTACTGTAACTTTTATAAACAATTCATTTTATATAACATTTTATACATAAATTACATAAATATGATTGCTGGATTTATTTTTTTATAGTGGTTCTTCCCCTCTCCCCTTTGTTTTGTTTGGTTCCTCTATTGATTTTAGAGAGGGAGGGAGGAGAGAGAGATAGAAACATCAATGATGAGAGAGAAACATTGATTGGCTGCCTCCTGCACACCCCCAACGGGGGATTGAGTCCATAACCAGGGCATATGCCCTGACCAGGAATCAAACCTGGAACCCTTCAATCTGCAGGCCGATGCTCTATCCACTGGGCAAAACCGGCTAGGGCCATGGTTGGCAAACTGCGGCTCGCAAGCCACATGCGGCTTTTTGGCCCCTTGAGTGTGGCTCTTCCACAAAATACCAAAGCCTGGGCGAGTCTATTTTGAAGAAGTGGCGTCAGAAGTTTAAGTTAAAAAAATTTGGCTCTCAAAAGAAATTTCAATCATTGTACTGTTGATATATGGCTCTGTTGACTAATGAGTTTGCTGACCGCTGGGCTAGGGCCTCTGTTTATCTTTCCATGCCATCCTTGCATACTGCCAAACAAGTATGTATCCTTCCATATTTTTTTCATGCTTATATGTGTATATACACACACACCCTTATACACACAGACATTAACTTGAGTTTTTGTTGTTTATTTTATAAAAATAGAATTTTATACATAATTTAATACAACTTGCCTTTTTAGAAATATCAATGATGAGAATCATTGATCAACTACCTCCTGCATGCCTCCCGCTGAAGATCAAGCCCACAACCAGGGCATGTGCCCTGACTGGGAATCAAACTGTGAGCTCCTGGTTCATAGACCCACGCTCAATCACTGAGCCACGCCAGCTGGGCTGTCTAATATTCTTTTAAAACAAGGGTGTACAAAATTTTATATAGGCACAATAATTTATTTAGCCATTCTCCTATTAATAAACATTTACATTAGTTCTTTCCAGATTTCTGCCACTATAATCAATGCTGAAATGAACATCATTATGCATATGTCCTTATATACTATTGGTGCCACACACACACACACACACACACACACACACACAAATTTATATATATTTGTTAATTATATGTCCATATTGATTTTAAAAAATAGGTCATTACAATTTACTTTTACCTTTTGAATATAATATATGAGATTATTCATTTATTCATAATGCTACCAGCATAAGGTGTCATGGTTCTTTTATAATTTTGATGAATTATGGATGAGTTTCCTTGGCTACTAATGCATTTTATTATTATATTATACTGTTTTACCCAATTAATTTTGCCTTTTGAATTGTCTGTTCATATTATTGGCCCATTCTTGTAGGTTATTTGTATTTTTCTTAATTTGTAAGACCTCCTTGAATATTTTTGATATTGCCCCTAAGTCTATCATCCTATATAATAAAGAGGTAACATGCAAATTGACCATCACTCTAACACACAAGATGGCCGCTCCCATGTGATCAAAGATGGCCACCCCCATGTGGACACAAGATGGCCACCACAAGATGGCTGGCATGGCAGGGCATTTGAGGGGGGACCAGGACTGCAGAGGAGGGCAGCTGGTGGGGACCAGGCCTGAAGGGGAGGGAAGTAGGGGGCAACCAGGCCTGCAGGAGATGGCAGTTGGGGAGAGGGGACCAGGCCCGAAGGGGAGGGCAGTGGGGGGGGCAGGCCTGCAGGAGAGGGCTGTTGGGGGGGACAGGCCTGCAGGGGAGGGCATTTGGGGGTGACCAGGCCAGTAGGGGAAGGCAGTTGGAGGAGGGGGGACCAGGCTGGCAGGGGAGGAAAGTTAGGGGCAACCAGGCCTACAGTGAGGGCAGTAGGGGGCAACCAGGCCTGCAGGGGAGGGCAGTTGCGGGGAACCAGGCTTGCAGAGGGGACCAGACCAACAGGGGAGGGCAGTTAGGGGCAACCAGGATGGCAGGAGAGGGCAGTTAGGGGCAACCAGGCCTACAGGGAAGGGTAGTTAGGAGCAATCAGGCTGGCAGGGGAGGGCAGTTGGTGGGGGCCAGGCCTGCAGATGAGGGAGTTTGGGGCAACCTGGCTGTCAAGGGAGGGCATTTGGGGGTCACCAGGCCAGCATGGGAGGAAAGTTGGGGATGAACAGGCCTGCAGGGAAGGACAGTTAGGTGCAATCAGGCCAGCAGGGGAGCAATTAGGCATCAATCAGGCTGTCAGGGGTGTGGTTAGGGGGTGATAAGGCTGGCAGGCAGAAGTGGTTAGGGGCAATCAGGCAGGCAGGCAGGCAGGCCCGCAGTTGGGAGCCAGCAGTCCTGGATTGTGAGAGGGATATCTGACTGCTCCTTAGGCCCAATCCCACTGGGGTCCCAGATTGGAGAGGGTGTGTACTGGGCTGAGGGAAACCCCCACTTATGCATGAATTTCATGCACTGGGCCCCTAGTTGTTACAGATAATCTCTCCTAAATATGTATTTATTGGGTTTGTTGGTGGTATATTTTTCACATAATATTTTGTTCTTTCATATATAAATATGACTCTTATTCAATAGGTTTTGGTTTCTAGTCTTGGTTAAAACTGTTTTCTTAAAGGTAGATAACCAGTTATAGTGGCATAATATATCACGTAATCCCTACTTTTTCCTGTGAACGAAACTATCATCTTTGTCATCTTCTAAACGTATTTTTACTTGAATTTATTGGACTAATATTGGTTAATAAAATTATATGAGTTTCAGGTGTACAATTCTATAATACATTACTGTATATTGTATTATATGTTCACCATACAAAATTAAGTCTTTTTTCATCACCATTTATCCCTTTATTACCTTCTTTTACCTCCTGCCATCCACATTTCCCTATAATAATATACAGTAATCATCATACTGTTGTCTGTCTATGAGTTTATCTATTTATTTATTTTTTGCTTAATCCCTCCACCTTTTTCACCCAGCACCTAACACCCTCTCCTCTGACATTTTTCAGTCTGTTTTCTGTATCTATGAGTCTGTTTCTATTTTGTTTGTTAGTTTATTTTGTTCACTAGATTCCACATATGAGTAACATCATGGTATTTGTCTTTCTCTGACTGGCTTATTTCACTTACTATAATACTCTTCAGGTCCATCCATGCTGTTGCAAAGGTAAGATTTCATTATTTTTTTACAGCCACATAGTATTCCATTGTGTAAATGTACTGCAGCTTTTTTTATCCACTCATCTACTAATGAGCACTTGGGCTGCTTCCAAATCTTGGCTATTGTAAATAATGCTGCAATGAATATAGGGGTACACATGTTTCAAATTAGTGTTTAGGGTTCCTTTGGATATATTCCAAGAAGTGGAATCACTAGGTCATATGGCAGTTTCATTTTAATTTTTTTGAAGTAATTGCACACTGCTTTCCACAGTAGCTGCACTACTCTGCATTCCCTCCAACAGTGCATGAGGGTTCCTTTTACTCCCCATCCTCCCTAATGCTTGTTGTTTGTTGATTTATTGATGACTGGTATTAGGTGATATTTCATTGTTATTTTAATTTGCATTTAAAAGAACATTGGTTAGTGACATTGAGCATTTTTTCATATGTCTCTTGGTCATTTATATGTCCTCTTAGAGAAATATCTATTCAGG